CCCTGACCCTGCTTGGGGAGAGAGGGTAGTCTATAAATAAAGTATTATTGATATTATTATTCACTGATTAAACACATTTAATTAACAATGTTCAGAGGAAGGACATAAAGCATATAAACAATCATCAAACAGTATAAAAGGCAATGTACTAAATACAGCAGATGGCTGAATATACTGCTGAAATGTGGGTATAAATCTTTCTTTAAAATATGCGAAAGTTGTTTTCTAAAAAGGCAGGCAGAAACTAGATGGGGGTCTTTACCCAATTAGTAGACGGCCAGGAGTTTCTGATCCCTCAAATGCTCAGTAGTAAGGATTAAAAATTACCCTGGTCCACCAAATTAAAAAAAGAAATTGAAGGGAACCAAATGGGCTTTCTATGTATGTGGCCTGGCTTAGGTCATTAGCATACGCTCCTAGTAAGCCATGTGCTCAGACAGAAATGTTTCTTAATGCTCCCGACTTCAACCAACAATGTGACTGGGGCCCCTTCCAGACAGGTCCTATATCCCAGGATCTGATCCTAGATTTTCTGCTTTAAATTGGATTATATGAGTATGCACTGTCAGATAATCTGGGATAAAAAGAAAACTTGGGATTGGATCCTGGGATATGGGGCCTATCTGGAAGGGCCCTTGGAGGATCTCAGCGATATTGGGGGGGGGGGGGGAAAATATTAAAATATAATAATAATAATAATAATAATAGGAAAATCCCACAGACCATCTGCTGCAGAGCAAGGAACAGCAATATGCGTTAACACCACATATTATAAACAAGATTAATAGCATTCAGACACCCCCCCACACACACACACACATCGTCCTCCCCTAAATCCGTCTTTTGAGAAGATCCTCTTCCAACCTGACAGGAAGGGGGGGGGGGAAAGAGAGAGAGAGAGAGAGAGAGAGAGAGAGAGAGAGAGAAGCGCGGGAGGTACGAAAGTGGACGGAAGGAGGGAAGGAAGCCCGCGCATTTACTACCAGGCCACGTAGGGAAGGGCAAAATACACTTATTAAATACACTGAATATCCCTGGGCTCTATTAAAATGGCAGCTTGGGCCCTTCCCTCGCAAAATGACTGCAAAAGCCTGAAGGGGCAGATAAGGGGAGATCTGGGGAAGAGGGACATCACCCTTACAACCCCCCCCCCCCAAGGACAACACAATGGGCTGAAGTCTCTCACTGATTCATTTACATGAATAATAATAGTCTATACTGTAATACATCCCCCCCCCCACCACCAATATTAAGAGATTGAAGCAGGCATGGGACAAACTTGGGCCCTCAGGTGTTTTGGACTCCAACTCCCACCTTCCTAACAGCCTCAGGCCTTTTCCTTTTCCCCCTCAGCCGCTTACACCTGGAGGGCCCAAGTTTGACCAGGCCTGGTTTAAAGAATATTTGCCTTTGTTTACATTTCTCAATTCATAGCAATATGACTTGAGACTATATATATGTGTGTGTGCACATACACACATACATATATATCCATTCATTCTTGGACTGAAGGGTTTCTCCCTTCGCCAGGCGCCCTTTTCCTGCCCTGAGGCCAAGAGGCGGGAGAGAGAGCACAAGGATTGTTCTCCCGCCGGCGGGACTCGCCTCCAGTGATAGTGGCTGGGCTTCCATCCTTCAAGAAATGGAAGAGAGGGCTCTAGGATTCCTCCCACCCGGTTAGATTCTCTCCCCCGCTCCACCCTCAGGCTGCCCAGGCCCCCACCAGCCCCGCGCCCAGTCCCTCCGTCTCCCTCTTCGGTTGCCCACACTCCTCGCCTCCCTCCAAGTTGGCCTGGCTACCTGGTAAAACAAGAAGCAGGCGCTGTTTTCCTTCTCTTTTCCCCCTTTTTTCTCCTCACGCGGTTCCTTCCCAGGCGCTCCACCAGGCAGGCCTCTGTTCCCTTTTCTTTTCCGCGCCGAGCTGAGTCCCTTTTGCTGAGCACTTTTGAATCTGGTATCCAAAACCCAGCCTCCCAATTGGAGGGAATTCTTAAAAGGCCAGCCGCCAATGAAAAAGCAGGAGAGAGGCGGTGGCCAATCCAGTGCGCGCGCGCCGCTGAGGGGGAGGGGGCGGAGCTTCCGTTGTAGGGGACATTTTTGGGGAGGTTTAAAAGGGTGAAGAGCGCGAGGGCGGCGAGTAGTGGGAGGGGAGAGTGACGAAGGCAAGGCGGAGCGCGTGCGCGCGCGCGCGCGCGGGGTCCTCTCATCTCGTGAGCATGAAGTAAGGACGTGTTTTACAGCTGAACGCGGGAGAAGCCGCGGCGCTTGCTCAAGAGGAGGGAGGAGGAGGGCGAGGCAGCTCGCGCTCTTCTCTCCGGCTCGTTCGATTGGACGGGGAGCCCCGCGCTCTCGCCCAGCGCACCGAGACAGAGAAAGAGCGCGCGCTCTATGCCAAAATGTGTGTGCGCGCGCACACAGAGGCAGCAAAGAAGGGGGCCACCCCACCCCTCCCCCGCAAAACTAAACCACTGTCGCTTGTCTCGACTGCCTGCGACAGGCTCGAGGCGGTATCGTTTGGATCACCATTCCCCCCATACGGCATTGTGCCCAACATATTCATATACTGTTTCACAATTTATATTCTGTCCCTAGTTTCAAAAGCCATTTATACGTTTTTAATGACATGGTCACTGTCTGTATCCTGTCTTTAGCTCACCTCGCTCAAGACAGGATAAAGCATTTACTTCTTCTTCATCAGCCTTTATTACTTATTTATATCCCGCTTTATCAAAGCAGCTCACAATAAAAAGCATTACAACTTCAAATACACAGTAATAGTATATCCTTGGACTTAATGTCAGGGGAAAACCTTTACCTTTTTTATTATATTATCAATATAGGTAAAGGTTTTCCCCTGACATTAAGTCCAGTCGTGTCTTGACTCAGGGGTGTGGCGCTCATCGCCATTGCTAAGCCGAAGAGCCATCGTTGTCCTTAGACACATCTGGCTGTACCTTACAAATAATAGGTTTATGAAGAATGTACATCAATAGCCTTTCATTTTTGCTCTAATGTTCATTGAAACTCCCATTTGAAACACTATACCTTCTGTTTCCAGTGGTAGCTGCATTCTGCCTACATCTAGTATTGATTTGTTACTACGCCTAATTAAGTTCCATTGATTGACTGAGTGTACTTTAAGCCTAATTTAGATGCAGGCCTTAGTCTGTTCAGACAGAATCAATCTTGGAGCATACTGAAGATTTAACAAGTTTTATGTAGCACACGGTGGCGCAGTGGGTTAAAGCACTGAGCTGCTGAGCTTGTTGATCGAAAGGTCGCAGGTTCGATTCCGGGGAGCAGCGTGAGCTTCCGCTGTCAGCCCTAGCTTCTGCCAACCTAGCAGTTCGAAAACATGCAAATGTGAGTAGATCAATAGGTACCGCTCCGGCAGGAAGGTAACGGCGCTCCATGCAGTCATGCCGGCCACATGACCTTGGAGGTGTCTATGGACAACGCTGGCTCTTCGGCTTAGAAATGGAGATGAGCACCACACCCCAGAGTCAGACATGACTGGACTTAATTTCAGGGGACTACCTTTACCTTATCTAGCACACACTTTTGCAGACTGCAAAAAAGCGGTGCTTTACACAAACATTCTGCTTTCATGATCTGGCTAAAATTGGCAGCATGAGTAAAAGCTGTTTGTATCCCTTCAAGCCCAAGAACGCAACAGTAAAACAGCATAAGGGATTCTTATTTGCCTCCTTTGCTTTGGAATCTGGTTCTTCTAGGTCCTATTGTTCAAAAAGGGACACCTGGATGTCCTGGGGGGCTGTAGGGTTCCTCCCTTAGTCATTTACATACTGCTGTTTCTTAAAAAGGCTGACTTTTTGCTATGTAAAACACCTTGGACCCTGCTGGCAAATGGTACACCATTGGAAGAGGAAGTACCATTGACTTGCTGAGTGCCTTTAGGTCATTATGGCAGATCTAACGCCAACCTATCTTGGAATTTGTTAAGATTGATTCAGTGGAGGATTGTGTTTGTCTGAACCCCATTGTCCAAGTCTCTCTTCAGATCATCTGGCACAGTAACAAATGATTGAACTTACTAATTTTGCTACATTGTCTTTTTTCTGGTAGTTTAACATTTTGGGCTGAAACAAACTGTTACTTCTAGATAAACACAGTACTCATTGAATCACAATAACTTTTACACTTTTTGACTTAATACGTTACATTCATTCAGTGGCTAACACAAGAGCTGTGCTAGATGACACCCATAGGCAATACCTAATTCACACAGATAACTGTGGGGAGCCCAGAAGCAGCCAGTTGCAAGTCTCTCTTGCATTCCTCAGCAGGTAACAGAGTGACACACATGTAGTCACATAGTACAGTGATTGTTCTTTGTAGCCACTGGTGGCCTTGCTCTGTGCCTTCAAGTTATATCTGACTTTATAGTGACCATATCTATCACAAAGTTTTTTTGGCAGAGAGGGGTTATCTCCCTCCGGGGTAAAGTGGGAATTCAATCCTGATCTCCAGAGCCAATAGTTCAATATTCAAACCTTTACATCAAGATGGCTTCCGTTCATAGCCCCATCCTATGTTAATCTGATTGATCACCACTGCAGAATTAATGCAGCTTGACACCACTTTAACTGCTATGACTCAATACTACTGAAAAGTGATGGTACCTCACCAAACTACAAATCCCAGGATTCCATAGTATTGAGCCATGACAATTAAAGTGATATTAAGCTACATTAATTCTGCAGTGGAGAGGAACCTCTAGTTTTAAAGGAGTCTCCATCCAAAACAAAATCAATGATGATGACAAAAGCAGTATACAAGTGATTCGGCAAAGGGCACTGACAAAATACTATTGGGATAATGTACATAATAATAATTTTGTTCTGACTAGCTCCAGATGCATGGTTCTCTCTTGTCAAAGGCAAGTGGGCATACAAGCAGAATTAGAAAGAATACCATCCTAACTTTTTCCACTTACAACCCCTTTCCACTTGAGAAAAACATTTAGATGACCCTGGGTATATAGGTACAAAACCAAATGTTTATTGATAATAAATCAGCATTTGTAAGGTTGATTTTCTTTTTTTGTGGAGTACAGCAGAATGATCAAACATTAACCTTTTCAAATAGATAAAAAAAAATGAAAAGTTGTTTCTGACCAATTTCCACAAAGAACTGTTATAGGTCTGGAACGGAATATAGGAAGTATTATTTATACATGAAACTAGCCAGGTTTACTTATAGGTTTGCAGTAGCAGCTTATTTAATTTCCTCTATTGGCTGGCATCCTTATCAGAATTTACAGCCATATGATGCGTCCCCCCTGTTTTGATGGGCATGCTCCTGACTTTTATCAATATTTATGAGTATTTTCACAGACATACTGTTAGTATCAGCAGTCCATCCTAGTTAGATAAGGGCTTTTTCCTAATTCTAAGGCTGTTCCATTTCATGGTACACAGGAGAGCAAAGCATCAAGTGCCCAAATGCACACATACTAGAATACATGGAAATTTAGACCTGAATATGTCATCACTTCAGAATTTTTTGGTGGTTCAGGCTCTGACAACACTATTTTTAACTTTGCTACAACACTTCATATATACTGTTTGCTTAATTTTACAAACAGAATAGTTAACATTGAATAAAACAGTTAAACAAACCTTATGTTCGTCAAATTATTCCTTTAGGACAAGTGTGAACCATAACTCCTATTAGCCTTAGATAATCTAACCAATAAGGAATTATAATTGGTAATACGTTACTCTGGGAGTCTTTTTGTCTAACAATCAAGGTATAAATGCTTTAAAAAAATAAAATAATTATAGACAAAGTAATCTAACCACCGTGGAGCCACGTAAGTGGCAAGCACAAGCAAGTTCTCTGCCCTTAGGAGCACAGTTTTAAAACAGACATCAATATTTTGAGCAGCAAACAAGGTGAACTGCTAAGTAATTTCCAGAAAACTACACTCTATTGGCCTTACTTCCAGGGTAGAATACTTTAAATAGTCTTGTACATTATCTACAAGAAAATGTAACTAGATTGTTTTATTACTGAGATCCGAGCCATCTTTAGAATAAGCAAGTTAAAATTTAAACACAGCTGCTCTAAAGTAGCAAGTCAAGAAAAAATAATTTAAAATCAAAAGAACCAAATAAATAAATTATCATAAAGTTTTTATGACTACACAATTTTCATGTTTGTTAAGTTATAATTAAAAGTCTCAACTCTCATTCTGCCACTGATTTCCAACTAGTGCTGCTTTTCTCATATCTTGGTAATATTCACAGACCTCATCTGCAAGAGTGGCAACTTAGTGCCTTTCATATGCTTTAGACTATAATTCCCACAGCACCCTAACATTGGTGAAGTTGACTAAGACTTATGTAATTTGAAGTCAAAACCATCTGGAGGACCCTAAAAATCTTCATACACTAAAGTGCATGATGAATTAGTCTCAATGCAGATGTTTTGAAGTGTTTATTAGAGCTCTGGGACATCCAAATAACACCATCAACATGAATATTCTTTACTCCTGCTAGCGGGAAAAAAATAAAAGGGGGGGGGGGTCAGGGTATTATGGAAGCACACTTCAATCAAGTCTCTCAAAGTCATCTCTGTTTTCGTAAATATTGTAAGCCATTGTACAAGTTTTCAAACTTTGTAAAGAATTATGAACAGTTTTTTAGATATTTATTAAATATTACAGGAATGAGATGAGGGTTTCTTCATTTGTTTAGGTATGAGTAAACTTCCCCACTGGGCAGCCTAGCAGGGATGGAGCTTAGTCCATCATGGGAGAAAAATAGCAGCAAAGACACAAGTAAAATAACAGAAGAAATATTTAGCATTATATCAAACTTTCTTGAATGCCTGGGTGAGCAAACGTCAGCAGAGGCAGCTGGCCCCTCTGAGGCAGCACTGGTACTCTACCCTCTCCAATAATGACTCTTGACTTAACCATGGGTCAAAATCCATACTTTTGCCACCTAAATCTGCCCTCAACATTTTTATTGCACTGAATATGGATGGAGCTGGACTTTTGCTGAAAAGACATTCTCACTGCTATAATGAGAAGGGGTAATTGTAATTTTTTTAAGCTTCTGCCTCCTCTTGTAGTCCCTTGTGCTATCTCAAAATCAGCTGTTGAGTTGGGATACTACCCAGGACAAGGGAAGAAAAGGTAGTAAATAACAACTCTAGGATCTCCTCACTGTAGCAACAGCCTTCTGTAAAAAGAAGGAATTATTTGATCCACATGGGATAATATGTCTAGATTTGTTTTTAGTTATGATGAATAAGCATTCCAGACTAATTCTCAACTTTCCACCAGCCTTAGAAAGAAGCAGTGCCACTGCTGATTCAAAAGAGGAAACAATAATTATTTTAATGCACTGGTCTGTTTAACATGCTGCAGCTTAAACAGTACAGTATTTTTCTTTCAGAACAAATGTTCCCCTTCAAACAGCGATTTGGGGATAATTGTAACGTAGCACTATTTTACTGCAAAATCAGATAGGTCCAAACAGTACAATGCAGCAATAGAGCTTGGATGCATTTCCATACCTGTTGTGCAGGACAAGAGGAAGGTCATCTCAGCCTGGTTGGATCACTTTCTGAAATAACTTCCATCAGAGCTTCAAAGTCAGCATATTCTCCCAGGGCTTGTATCATTTCATCTAGTAGTTCTTCCCCCAACATAAATTGTTCAATATGATGCACTGATCTACTTATTCTATGGTCAGTGACCCGATCCTGGGGGAAGTTGTAGGTTCTGATTTTCTCAGACCTTCCTTTGGTGCCAGTCTAAGCAAAAGAAGAAGGAAAAATGATGTGTTATTTTCCACATAGTGAAATATCCAGGCTGAATGGTTTAACACAACAAAAGTATAGACAGCTCTTAACAAATGTCATATAAGGAAGCAAATTAGAAGCCATAAATGTGCAAGGCAGCCCTCTTTCCCTTGTAGAACTTGCAATGCAAAATGTTCAAGGAAAGGAGACCAACAGACAGAAGGGAAACATCATAGAAAAGCTTATAGACCTAATGCTCATTCTTGCTGCTAAAAAGTAAATACTGTAAAGAAAAGTCACATATAAACTGAATCTTCATTACATTTCTACCTAGTTCCGGTTGTATGGTCCCGACTAAAATGCTCCCCAGCAGGTCAGGCAAATCTGCCTCTCAGCAATAAAAAAGCCTCAGCAAATTCATCACACGAGGCTTCTGTTATTTTACATCACTGTACTTTGGAGAACCGTATTTTCATCATGTGCTTTGTGTTAATCCAGTTAACATCCCACCTTCACAGGTCTCAACACCCATCCACTCCCAATTGCATCATCTGGCTCTAACACTTCTTCATTATGTTACAGGTAGTTCCCCATAGAAATTTAAACTCATTCTTAAATTTCAAGCCATGATATTGAGGAAAAGTAAAATAGATATTACCTGAATCTTTCTGGCAGTTTCTCTCTTCCTTGACTCGTCTTCAAGCTTCATACTGTACAGCTTGGCACGAAGGATCTGCATAGCCCTTTCTTTATTTCTTATTTGAGACCTTTCTTGTTGACATTCAGACACCACACCTAGCGCAGGTACAAGCCAAAATAAAAAGAACAGAAATATTGAATTGATAACATAAACAAAACCTCTAGGAACAGATTGAGAAGCATTTTAAGAAGCACACAAATATTAACACCAGCTGTGGGAGCTTATTTTGGGTCTTGTATCATAATTGCTTTTAGGATAGATGTTGTAATGTTTCACTCATGTTTTAGTTTACGATGTCTTATTGGATTATTTTTTATTATTTTCATCTCGCTGCTTAATTCTTTGTTGTAAGCTTACTGTTGTTTCTGTGCATTATCTGGCTCCCTTCAGGGAGAGAGGGCAGACTAATTTATTATTATTATTATTATTATTATTATTATTATTATTATTATTATTATCTTGTACAGCGTTGCAGCCCACCTCTCAAAAGAAAGAAAAAAAGAAAAAGAAAAAAGAAGATAGTTGCAAGCCTTTATCAGTTACTCCAATGCACTCAATACAGCCATAAAATTAGTTATTTCCTTAAACAGAAATGAGTACAGCAAAATCTCAATATCTGCAGAAGATATTTTCCCAGTCAAATCAATTTGACACTGTGGATATTAGTGACCACTATTAAATCACTTGTCTTCTGGTCCCAGTCTATCATAGAAGTATGCTAGGAGAGAGACCCAAAGATTCTCAGTTACTTTCTCTAGGAATTTGTTAAGCCCTCCAGTGTGTCTCTATGGGAAGTATATCATAAAATTACATAGGAAAACCTGAAAATTCCTAGACAGCCAATTTTCTCCAGGAATGAGTAAATGAAACCTTAGATCTGGGTTATGGGGTCTTACTGGACTTTGGTTATGGCAACTGAAATGGAGCTGGTTTTAAATATTATCAGTTTTAACACTGTTTATCATGTATTGCTGTCTTAACGTTTGCATTTGTGATTTTTGTATCCTACTTTATGGGCTGTTGTTATTGCACTAATTCTCCACAATGTCAGGGAGCAAGTTTCTTTATCATTTTTAATGGTGATCCATTAATAATTTGAAGGCTTCTCTATATAAAAGAATTTGAATCTCTTCTGGATAATACTGAACTCATAAAACAATATTTTTGGCACTGTTTCATTATCAGGACAGAGACCACTAGGGGACACTAGAGAGTGATACTTCATTTTATTGGTGGGGGAAGGAATTGAAGGAGGAAAACTATTTTCCCCATTTTAGTTGGTTACTCCCCTCCCTACGCTGCATATCATAATCGAGGGTTGTTTACACGACAGGAACATGGGTGGGGTGAATAACAGTAAAACGGGAAAATGGTTTTACTCCTTTAAGCTACCCTACACCCCCATAGAATGAAGTGTCCTTCTCTCTTTCTAGCGCCCCCTAGTGGCCTCCACCCAGATAATGGAACAGTACCTATTTTTATAGGAAAGGTTTACATACAATTGAAATAAAATGTAATTTACCTGTGGGAATATGTACTATGCGTACAGCACTATCAGTGGTATTTACATGCTGACCACCAGCTCCACTGGCTCGTTTAGTTTCAATACGTAACTCTTTAGGATTAATTGTCAGGTTTATCTACAAAAGAAAAATAGGGCACGTTTAGTTTATCTTCTATATATATAAAAATGCTCTGTGCATAATGAGTACCTTAAAAACAAAAGAACCAATGAACGAAATCACACCAAATTTGGCAACAAAACATCTCACTACGCAAGGAGTGACCATCACTCAAAAAATTATGATTTTGTCATTTGGGAGTTGTAGTTGCTGGTATTTATAGTTAACCTACAATGAAAGAGCATTCTGAACTCCATCAATGATGGAATTGAACCTAACTTGGCACACAGAACTCCCATGACCAACAGAAAATACTGGAAGGGTTTGGTGGGCATTGAGTTTGGGAGTTGTAGTTCACCTACATTCAGAGAGCACTGTGGACTCAAACAATGATGGATCTGGACCAAACTTGGCACGAATACTTAATATGCCCAAATATAAACACAGATGGAGTTTGGGGAAAATAGACCTTGACATTTGGGAGTCGTAGTTACTGGGATTTATAGTTCACCTACAATCAAGGAGCATTCTGAACTCCACCAACAATGGAATTGGGCCAAACATCCCACACAGAACCCCCACGACCAACAGAAAATTTTGTGTTTTCAGGTGGCCTTTGGTGACCTTTCTGACACCCTCCCTGGTGGCCCTCTCCTGGGGTCTGGTCTTGACTTCCCAGGTTGAGAAATGCTGCCTTGAGGCCATCCAGTCCAACTCCCTTCACCAGGGCAAGGAAACATAATCAAAGCCCTCCTGACAAAGGGCCATCTAGCCATGCACACACACACACACACATATATGTATATGACAGATGAGTATCAAAGATTTGAAAGGGACCCCTGAAGAAGGACAATGATATGTTGCATGTCTCAGAGCAGGCAAACCAGACAATCTCCACATCAACACTGGCAAAGAAACAGCAAGAAATACTGTTTATCCACAAGCAGAAAGACATTACATAGATTAGAAACCAACACTTTTTCATTACTTTATTTTCCAGATCACCAGACTGGGCCACAGCAACATGTGGCAGGGGACCGCTAGTTCTTTATATATTATAATAGCTAATGTAAGTTAGATAAGTTTATTAATTCAACTGCACAATACATTTTCACTGAGCAATCATACAAATTTTGCAATAATAATAACTTGGTAAGAGCACATCAAGGCTGGAAGATTTGAGTAGCAATTTCTTGTTAACAACATTATATTTTTGGCATTTTGAGTCTCAAGTAAGAGAGAAAATATAAATTATTCTAATATTAATAATACTACCTCATTTGGTTGTGGCAATATTGCTACAGTCATTGTGCTGGTATGAATGCGGCCTTGCTTCTCTGTTTTAGGCACTCTCTGAACACGATGCACTCCTCCTTCAAACTTCATTTGCCTATATGCTTCAGGGCCTGCTACTGCGGCAGATGCATGTCTCAATCCACCTTAAGACAAAATGAAAAGAAAACTGTAGAGTCTCTGTGTGATAGGTGATGCTATTTTATGTTATGTGTTTAATAACATTCAATGTTTTATTAGGGGAGGGTGAATTTTAATGTTTTATACTGTTTTTATCAATGGCATTGAATTGTTGCCGACACTGTGAACCACCCTGAGAACCCCTTTGGGGCTGAGAAGAGCGGTATACAAATATTGCAAATAATAGCAATAATAATATAAGTGTAATAAATAAAATATAAATAAACTACAGTAAAGTAAAAGGGGAAGCGACCTCAGGAAAGCAGCCCTGGCAGTTAGAGGCAGTAGCAAAAAGGGGCCCTGCAGCCATAATCCACCTACCCATTCAACACAAACAAAACCCTTTCTCTTCAGCTGTCCTCCTCCTTTTTCCATGATAGTTTGACAGCCCCCTTCTATCAACCCAGCCCCCCTAGGCCCAGTCCAGGGAGGGAAGAAGTCCCCTCCTACTTCCCACTGACTTTGGCAGCCTCCTCCTCACAACAAAGACCTGACTGTAGACCCTTTCATTCTCCTATTTCTTCATTGGCAGGTTATGTGTTATAGGACTGGGAGGAGGAGGGAGAGTAGATAGCATGTCAGTCTCTGGGTCAGGTGGAGGGACAGGAGGAGGAAGGAGGAGAGAGCTGCAGGGAAGGAAGGAAGACAAGAGCAGCAGGAAAGGGCAGTGGTAAATGCTCTTTTGTGACAGCCTTGGTGGGTCTGAATAGGAATGGTGAGGTCTGCCAGTTGTTCTTGTCCCTTTTAAGCTCAGATCTATCCTGTTCCTCCTCCCGTTCTTGCCATCCCATCCATCCACTTCAACAGCAGGAGGGACAAGCTGCAGCACTTCAGTATTGTCATCCTGTTCTTTCTTCTAGAGATTGACAGAAGATTTCTTAAAATTTTGCAACAGCAGTTTATCATGAGGATCCTGCCCCTCTAACCTGTGAAAATGTTGAGGGTAGACCGTATAAGCACCAGATATTAATATCTAAGAAACCGGATTGGATCAGGAACTTCAAGTCATCTACCTTTATGATGCTGCACAAAATCTATGTGCAGGAAAAGTGGTTTAAGTGTAATGTTTATATTAGCAGTAGGCGTTTTCTATCAATAGGGAGATGATCTGAGTTACTCACCTATATCACTGGGTGCATATTCCAAAATGTCAAAATTCCAGTTTTTATATGCAGCATATTGTTGATACATATCAAACATCTCTGCAGTGAATAGCATTGCTTCTTGCCCTCCAACTCCAGCAGTCACTTCCATTATAAGATCACTTTCATCTGTTTCTTCTGAAGGGATTAAATGCAGTATTATCTGCAAAATGAAAAAAAAACCCAATGCTTTCTTATATATTTTTAGAAGCATTTATTAATCTCATCATAACACATATCTAGTTAGAAAAAAATATAGTCACATAAACTGGCAAATAAACTACCTGTTACATTTTGGTATTTGTCTTGTATATTTAATATGTATTTTATAGAAAAACATTTTAATAATGTGTTTAATGAATGTGTGCAATGTTTATGTGTTGTGACTGTGCTGTGACCCACTTTGAGCCACGAGGAGAGGTGGATAAGAAATAAAATATCATTATTATTATTATTATTATTAAACTCTACTATCCCAAACTAAAAGGAGGTCTGTCTAAAATGAAACAAGGTCAGGTACAAGAACTATACATTTTTAAATTTTTGCAGACTTGAAAACACCTTTCAGTAGGCAACTGAGGGATGTTTTCTTTCACTAGTCTGCACTTTTCTATTTTAGCAGTCAAATTCTTCTAGATTCATGCTTTTAAAATCATATATGAGGCGAGGGACAGGCTTTTCTGCTTTCCCCATTTTTTCTGTTCTGATGGTCATGCATACTTAATAAGATACTTTATAGAGGCAATCGCTATTCACTTTGCATGTTGAAGGCCAGCAGACAGCTACAATAATAATAATAATAATAATAATAATAATAATAATAATAATAATACAACCTGTTTGAGCAGAATCACTCTTTACAGCTCAATCTTCATTGAATGGTTTTTACAGATACACTTCTGTGTTTGTTTATTTACCACATTTCTATCATGCCCTATCTCACCTCGACTCACCGAGGCTGACAGCTTGGCACAATTCGATGCCACATCATTGTTTTCCCAGCCCTCCTTTACCTGCCAGTGCCTATGCTGCTAAAAGCTCATAGGCACCCAGCTCAGGCACCCAGGGAAACAGAGCAAGTAGGATCAGTGACCCAAAGTTTGTGATCTTGCAGTGTAACACATACCACCATATTTTAAACTACAACAGTCAAAGCAGCATACCTGACGTTTCAACTCTGCTATCTCTCCCTGACAAAAAACAATTTCCGTTTCTGCAAGTTGTCGCAAATCTTCATTTTCATCTAGAGAAAAAATATTCTTAGGATCAACACCGCATCATATTTCTAGGAAATGTAGGCAAACGTAAATGCAATGCAAGTTATATTTCTGGCCCACAGGCACAAAACAGAAAAAGTGTGAATGTGGAAATAAATATTCAGGGACTTGTTTTTGCATTTTGCTCCACACGAGTTAATGAAGAGTGCTTTACCAGCTCATCTTAGGAGTTTCTCCTCCAAATACTAACCAGGGCTGATCATGCTTAGTTTACAAGATCAAGCAGGATTTGGAACTTTTATTTCCTGACTTTTTGTCAGAGTGGGATTCAAGGGCTCTTTAGATATTTCGGATTGTAGCACACCTTTTTGTACGCAAGCAAGAGCCCCGCACTGGGCCGAGAGGCGAGAGCGCCCTCCTCACCTTCCCGGGCCAAGCGCTGGGTGTCGCTGAGCTCCTCCTCCTTCCTCCGCAGGCGGCGGGCCAGAGCGGCCAGCTCCAAGCCTCCGCGGCCCGCACCCGCCTCCTGCCTTGGCTCCTGCTGCTGGTCCAGGAAGCGCCGGAGCGAGGGCAGTGCGAAGAGGTCCTGCAGGCCCGGCTGGCTGCAGAAGAAGCGCCGCGTCGGATTCAGCCTCCGCCATCCCGCCAGAGACCGAGCGAAGCCCAGGCACCGCAGCGGACTCCGCACTAGGGAGAACACCATGCCTAGAGGGGAACGACTTCCGCTTCCGGTCACGAGTCAGACAAGAAACAGAGCCGACATCTCTTTACGCGTCTCCATAGAGGCTAAAAAAACAAAACGGGTAACACACACTTCCGGTTCCTATTTGAAGAGAACCGTATCCTAAGATATGCATTATAATAGTATTATATTATATTATAATACTAGTAATATTATAGTAATATTATAATAATATGATAATAGATATTAGCATTATAATAGTAGGTAAAGGTTTCCCTTTACATTCAATCTAGTCGTGTCGGATTCTAGGGGGGTGGGGGTGCTCATCTCCATTTCTAAGCCAAAGAGCCGGCGTTGTCTGTAGACACCTCCAAGGTCATGTGGCTGGCATGATCGCATGGAGAGGCATTACCTTCCTGCAGATGCGGTACCTATTGATCTACTGATATTCGCATGTTTTTGAACTGCTAGGTTGGGCAGAAGCTGGGCCTAACAGCGGGAGCTCACCCCGCTCCCCAGATTTGAACCACCGACCTTTCGGTCAGCAAGTTCAGTAGCTCAGCGGTTGAACCCACTCCGCCACCAAGGGCTTCAGTATAATAATGTTAGACTTGGGAAGCCTACGTGTGATTATTCTGCCAAACCCCTATAGTCTGTTTGTATCACTATCGCCTGCTGAAAAAAGAAGAAGAAATCCGGAAGATGCCGAAAGTATTCGGCTCGTGTTCGGTGCGCATGCGCTGTTTCTCCGGTCAAGCAGTAATTGTGACCACAGCGACCCCTTGAGTTGCCTGTCACCCTCAAAGCTCGGCTCAAATCCCGCCGGCCAGGCCGGGGCTGTGGCTGCTCCTCCACCCACCTGGCACGTGGCTTCCCCTTTTGGTTCTGCCTCGCCAGTCACGACTGTCTCTGGGAGGGAGTGGTGTCTTCTCAGGATATGGCCATCTTGGCTTCTAGTGAAAGCTCAGGCATGGTTTGCACTACAACCTATTGGTTGGTCTTTTCAGCTGCCTATCTTACTTACTTACTTACTTGGGCGATCCCTCGTTGTCTGAGGATGATGGTCCTCCAAGACCGGTGTACTGGGTCCGTAGGTGACTGTGGAGCCCTGTTCTTGATCTGCATCTTCTCCTGCAGTGAGGGTATTGGTTTCCAGGTGGAAGGTGGTCCCAGTTGGGGTTGGCTTGACGCACCTTCCTCTTGCCATGTTTTTCTCTTTTGCCCTCCATTCGTGCCTCTTCAAATTCTACAGCACTGCTGGTCACAGCTGACTTCCAGCTGGAGCACTCAAGGGCCAGTACTTCCCAGTTCTCAGTGTCTATGCCAGAGTTTTTAAGGTTGGCTTTCAGCCCATCTTTAAATCTCTTTTCCTGTCCTCCAACATTCAGTTTTCTGTTCTTGAGTTCAGAGTAGAGCAACTGCTTTGGGAGACTGTGGTCAGACATCTGAACAACATGGCCGGTCCAGCGGAGTTGATGGCGGAGGACCATGGCTTCAGTGCTGGTGGTCTTTGCTTCTTGTGCAAACCTAACTTTAATACCCATTGGTAGATTTTGTGCTGTGGCTTCATAGCCTCGCTTTTTCCCAAATACACTGTACTTGATGAAAGTTCCCATTACTGTGCACTGGCAATTTCCTTTGCAAAACTTTGGAAGAAGCTTTTCAAAGTGGCACTCTGCAGTTTTCAAAGGCGGCCAGATAGATGGGAGGAAGCTATTGTGAGACAGCATTCCGATCTGAGGACTTTATTACTCTCTATGTGATTTGTTTATATGGTTGAATGTTTTATACTATATATGTGTATTGTTTAATGTATTGTTTAATTAATAATTTATTTATTATCCTCGGCCACTAGCAGTTCAGGTGGCTGGGAGATGAACAATTTGGGCACAAAGTGCAGAATGACGTGCCAAATGGTGGCCTGGTCCTCCTTCTGGATGGTGGGCTGCCGCTTCACATGGTAGCTGATCAAAGTGGCCACATCCTCCAGGATCTGCTTGTCGTCGTAGACAAAGATCAGGTGTGACTCACTGGCTTCATGGCCTCTCTTTTCCCAAATACACTGTACTTGATGAAAGTTCCCATGACTGTGTACTGGCAATTTCCTTTGCCAAACTTTGGAAGAAGCTTTTCAAAGCGGTGCTCTGAAAGTTTTCAAAGGTGGCCAGATAGATGGAAGGGAGGAAGGTGTTGTGAGACAGCACTCCAATCTATGGACTTTAGGTTAGGGGTGTAGTTATGAGGGGATTAGGAGATTCTGTCCCCCAAGTGAAATACAGGCAGTCCCTGAGTTACAAGAATCCAACTTACAAACAACTCATCGTTAAGAATGGGGATAAGACAACAGGAAGTGAGAGAAATCTGCACCTCGGAAGAGAAATTCACACCTGGAAGAGTTATCAGGGGAAAAAGATGTCGCCACTGACACTTTCTCACCAATCCTTGATTCTACAACAAGCCAAATTTTCCAGAATCTAATTATCACATGGACAGAAAGTGGGGTGAAATATTCTGAACGGGGGAACAGACAGCAAAACAAACACCACAGGGGTGTTAACCCTTCCTTATATATAATTTTGGCTGGAGCTACACTTTCAAAATGTACCTGTTCTGACTTACATACAAATTCAACTTAAGAACTAACCTACAGAGCTTATCTTGTTTTTAACTTGAGGATGACCTGTATAGTTCTTCAATCACCAAATTTCCAAAATCCCCTGGGTAGTTTTGGCTGTCCCTCTTATTTGGATGCCAAACTGGATTGCTAATCACACTTCATTGCAGTTTGAAGTTTCTGTAATGCTCAGAAATTGGGGCCTGGAAGGAAACTTCATGGTGGGATGCAATGTCTTCATTTTACTGCAAAAGCGGCAAAAGATACTGTTCTTTGCACTACAACTTTCCTGACTTTATGCCAAGGTTCCCCATGGCAATCTCTCCAAAAAGGCCGTAAAATGTGGACTGGACAAGGCTACTATCAAGTGGGTTGGAAATTGAGTGACTGGTTGAGTGCTCACTAATGGTTCCTTTTCATCTTGGAAAGAAGTGACTGGCGGAGTGCCGCAGGGCTCAGTTCTGGGCCCAGTACTATTAAACGTTTTTATAAATGACTTGGATGAAGGTTTAGGGGATATGCTTACCAAGTTTGGAGATGACACCAAATTAGGAGGGACAGTGAATACCCCAGAGGGCAGGATCAGTATCCAAAATGAGCTCAACAGATTAGGGGGCTGGACCAAAACTAACAAAATGAATTTCAACAGTGAGAAATGTACGGTATTGCACTTAGACAATAAAAATGAAATGCACAGATATAGAATGGGTGACACCAATAGGAATTCAGGCCAGGAGACACTGCTTAATTAAGCGGTGTCTTCTGGCCTGACTTCCTATTGGTTTCTATACTTAATTGAGAAAACCCTTGGTATCTGCTGGGGATTGATTTGAGCTGTCCTGTAAATACCAAAATCCATGGTTGAGCAAGTCCCAATATATACAGTGCTGTATTAAAATAGTGTCCCTTACATCAAAAGTTTTGCTTGTCAGAATTATTATTTTGGGGGAGGTAGTATTTACAACCTATAGATAGATGCATTTGTGAATGCTGTGAAGGATTGACTGTAGCTGATCTAGAATCTTGGACAATAATATTAATAAGAAAAATTATGGCTTTTAAAATGTTATTTAAAAATAATTAACAATTACTGTTCAGAGTAAATGGGTCCTATAGCAACAGAGGTAGTATCTGTGATCATCCCCGTGTAAGCACATAGGAATGGTCTTTGCGAATGCACTGAAAACTTTGAGAAAATATGAACAAAAAATTCTTGCCTTATTTTGACTGCTGTATCAGTGAAACAATTAAAAGTGATTAAATGAATTTTACCACACTGAAGCCATTTCATCCTTCCCCTATTCATTTCAATTTGGGTATACTAGAAACTTTAAAACAATGTTTCAAAGCCTTGACAATTTCACAAATATCGAGAGGGGGACATTTGCAGTGTAGAAGTAATGCAGGTTGACACTTAACTAGCATGGCTTAGAGCTAGATCATCCTGGGAGTTGAAGTTTTATAAGCTCTTGTCTTCTCTGCTAGAGTGTTCTTGCCTCGCCAAACTACAACTCCCAGGATTTCACAGAACAGTTGAAGTAGTCTCAGACTGCATTAATTCTACAATATATATGCAATGGGTGCTGCAATGGGTCAAACAATGTGCTGGCAGAACTGCTGACAGAAAGGTAGGCGGTTCGAATCCAGGGAGCAGGGTGAGCTCCTGCCTATCAGCTCCAGCTTCCAATGAGAGAAGTCCCCCACAGGATGGTAAAACATCCGGATGTCCCTAGGCAAAGTCCTTGCAGACTGCCAATTCTGTCACACCAGACATGACTTGCAATTTCTCAAGTCACTCCTGACACACAAAAAATGCATTCTGATTTGAGTGCTAGGAGAGTTATCAGGGATATAAATTAAATCAACAAAAACAAACTATATGAAACACCTTTGAAGTCAAGTCTGTGATCTCCAATTCATAAGAGGGTTAAGTTCTTTGAGCATTCTTATGATATTCCATGAAAGAATGAGTGGAATCAGAAACACCAAGATACTTTGATGAAGGGGGTGAGTGGGATGTATAGGCATTCTGTGTGATCAGATTTACCTATAGCTATGTAGAAGAATTTTACTGGTTTGATTGCTGTATGTTTTCATTATGATCTTATTGTTGTTTTATACATTTTAACTGTTGAAATTAGTGTGTTTTCATGTTGTAAGCCGCTTTGAGTTCACATTGCGAAGAAAGGAAGGGTAAAAATATTTTAAATAAATAAATAAATAAATATTTAGTCATAATTGGTTTTTTTAATTAAAAGAGTTATATTTATTTTGAATATGTGTGGTCTCATGAAAATCCAAAACCAAGAAGTAAATACATTTAATTCTATTTCTGCCTTTAAATAGTAAGTATAGCTAGGCATGTCTTTGTTTTAAAGTTATTGTATATAGTGCATGCACAATAATCTTTTTAGAAGTTTTATCATTGGCTGCTCACATTTTGCAAATAAACTGAGCGCAATGAGATTTGTTATGGGCTGAAAGGCAGCCGATATCCATTTCAGAAAACAGATTTGTCTGAAGTATGCCAAAGTGGCACAAAACAAATCTGTCTGGTCCTGTTGCCATAGAAGTTTCATAATAGCAAGTTTCATAATAACAACCTTTTAAAAATGGCACAAAGCATAAATCTTATGAATAAAAACTATACATTCATCCCTAGGAAGAACATATCAAATATAGCATGTCATATGGTCAATCTACCATCCTTTAAAAATGGGTGTTTTGACTGAAATGTTAACAACATAATGTCATTGCAATATCATATTAACAAATTTCTGAACTGGTTCAAATGCTGTGTCCCCCCCCCCCCCTCCCACAAATACAGATAAAAAGAAGTCCCACAATAAGATTCAGGGTGATAGATTTTGGCCCTTGAACTAAGAATTTTAATTAAGTTTCCTCAGAAAAGGTATTTTGTCAAACTGACAACTCATTTACTGTATGAAAAGTATCTTATAAAGATTGCTTCTGGTTTACAGGTCACCATCAAATAGTAACATCAAAAATAAGTCTACATATTGAAAGTTGTATACATGCGGTATTTTCTAATTACATAGTACCTAGTTTTGTGCACCAGAGATAATTGTGTCCCAAACACAGTTAACAAACCTTAATCTACACCATATAAATATATACATACAGAGTGCTATATATGCAGAGCATCATAGTAAATATGAACATCACTGTGGTGCTGTAGATACATAATACCACAGTTATACAATTCAGATCAGAAAAAAAGCAAATCTTTAAATGCATTTCATTCTGAGAATTTCACAGTTGGAGGAGGCAATTCTTTGCTGATTTTTTCCCCTACCTCCTCCTTTAGGAAAAAAAGTCTGTTTCTGTAAACATCTTCAAAGGTATTATTCTATCAATATATCTTTAAAGTTTATTCATAATGGTAAATTGACCAACCAACATGAATAAAGTATATCATAACACAATACACTTTTCAGACAAAACAGGTATTTATTAAAAGAATGTCTTTTATAAATAATTTGTCTCGCATTTTTAAATGACAGTTTCATAAACAACAATATTTAAAAGTGCTGAGTATGGTAGGATAGTCAGCAACGCCAGTGTAAACAGACCATTTATGTTTCCTGCTGCGCAGAATTTTCTCTCGCTTTTCTTCCTTTTTTAAAAACCCTATTTTGTCAGACACAACAAGAGTTAAAACAGTTGCATAGGGAGTAAAGAATAGCCCTTTTAAGTCATTATCTCCTGAATTCTCTATAAATTACAAAAACTAAATGAGTTTAAGAAACTGTTAGCTAAATTGTCCATGTCTCCCTCCCTCCCTAAAAGTATACAGATTTCAAGTATAATGTGTAAAATAATAAGTAAAATTTCCCCACATCTGCCCTTTGACACGTCTTCAATAAATTAAATGTGAAGAGGTAGTGAAAGAAAGAAGAAAAGAATGACTGCACAAACCTTTCCCATAAGTAATGAATGCTCTAGCAAAGAAATATTTAAATAGGGAGTATCCAGATCTCTGTAAAGGACCACGGCAGAGATCCTGATATTATGCTGGCATGGAAGGAGGGGAGGAAATCTGGCACAGGTCGCTAGGACTCAGGTGGGACGCTCCAGTTATAAAACCTATTCTGTACCAACCAACAACTTCTTGGGTACAGAAGTTTTTTTGGCCACTACAGCAAAATCTCGGAGGACAAGTTGTTCAACACAGCTTCAGCAGAAGTCTAAATATTTGGGTTGCAACCCCATCAGCGCGCTTAGTGGATTACAACCACCTAGTGATGATCTCAGGAGCTGCCCTTCAAAAATCATTTGCAGACAATGAGCTAACACTTGAGAACCAAATTTGACTGAGATTGCATCACAGCAATATTTGGCTTTGTTTTTCAAAACAAAGTTCCTTCCCGTCAACAGGGGAAAAACTCAGGCTCACATCAATCTCACCATTCAATAGATCCAGTGTTCTCAGCAGGGCAAAACAATAATTTTAAAGCCCTACCAAATCACATCCATCTGTTCTGTGGCCTGTTTTTTTTAAAGCTCATCAAAGGAAAAAGGAACATTTAGTACTGATTTGAATATTTATTAAGATGTGCCTTTATGTAGAAATGAGATATTTATTTTTAAGTCAATTTACATCTTAAAAAAGAAATGTTCAGCAGCTATCTACAAAACTAAACTAGCAGCAAAGTGTGTAATCTCCAAGGTATCACTCAGTTGCACTTTTACAGTGAATGGGATTTCCACAAGAGTGACAATTTCTCTCGCCTGAACCCACATTCATACTAAGATGGCTTGTGCAAAAAAGACACCTCTTGGAAACCAAGTTCAATGTGATTATTGGAGGTCTATGTTCTTCCCTTCGTGCCAACACTTTAAAAAATATTACAGCAACTAAAAAAAGAAGGGGGGGGGGGCTCAACCAGTGGCATATCTGAGTTTTAATACCAACTCAATCTATGCAATATCCTTTAAGCCCATGACAACTCCTTCAAAATTACATGGGCCAGAAGATAACTACTCTCTTTTTAAGAGTGTCTCTGTCTGTGCAAAACACACAAACATTCCTTTTCAAATGACGGAACGTTTAAGAAAATTAATTTACATACAAATGCTAGTCCTCAATGTGGACTGAAATGCTACATGTAGGCATTTTTATTTTTATATATTTTTTAAAAAACCCTTTAAGTCATCAAGCTTGCTTATGTGAATGTATGGATATTTATGTATCGTTTCTTTTGACTGAATTACATAACATTACACAACAGTATTAGATAACTGGATACCCAGTCTTTAATAAATCCGGTACATTATCTGACAGCTGAAATGTACATTAATTATCTATTCTTAGTAACAATTAAAAGCAATGTCAACACTTAGACTGTGCCACCCATGGGGATCCCCTTATATAGCTTGTGCTTTGTTGTTGTTTCTTTTTTTTCAAACTCTGCAACAAAAATGTCACAGTTTTGGCAGTCAACAACTGTAGGAATCCCCGGCTGTGAAATTTAAATAAATGATGATAAATAACACAAACTCTTACTCACTTTCTTATACAGAAAGGTTGTCTGTCTTACATAGCAATGTTTTTTCCCCCTCGATAGAGCATTTGGAATAAAGTTGCCATACCGCAGGACTCTGATTTTTTAAGTGTGAGCATTTTTTTTCAAAAATGTAAGCTTCTGGCTCATTCCAATGATGTGTGTGTGTACTATATTGCACAACATGTTCCTAAATATCAATATTTTTGTTGTTGAACTAAATATTGCAACAACTAAGTGGTAAGTGAAGCAATTTTGCTTTGCACATGCAGTGTGAGGATACACAAGAAAAACGACATAAAACGACAAGTATGTCATTGCAATCTTAACTGCAATTGTGAAACCTATGTGAAACAAATATGTTTTGGCAAATCTACTTTCCCTCTTCCAAACCCAAGCATGAAAGACCTTATAGACAAAGACCATTGTGTGCATTTGTTTTCTTCACAGTAGCCTGAGTGGTGCTAAACTGTAGTTCTCCAGGAATACAGTTCCAGATGTTTATTAAACTACTAAGGTGAAGACAGATTTTATATCAAAAGAGAGTTTACAGCACATCCCTTGGTAATGGGGCGGGCCTAGTTGCTCTCAGGTTTGCAAATGAAATGACAGCCACACATGTCAATGGCTCAGTCTTCAGCCCTTTCTCCCCATCTCCGTTCTTCAGGCTAGTTGTCCACCCTTTAAAAAAAAGTGCTCCATGAACATAGCATGCATTTCTCTGTTCGTGCACCACCTTGGTCATTTAAAAAAGGAAAGTTCTCTTAAAGTGCAAAATTGCTCCAGCTATTGCGGGGAGGTTTCTTGATGAATCACGGGGGGTGGTGGTCTCAGGAAATCAGCACCGTGCACAGCTGGCTTCTGTGTCAAAGGGGCAGATCCGGTCCCTCCCCCTCCCCAAACCCAACCTTGGAGTGGAAAGATACATTTTGGACAATGCAGTGAGGATGCTTCCAGAGCAGCTCCCCTGCTTGAAAAATGTTACATCTGTCTTCATCCTAATAGTCCTTCTTCCACCCGCTCCCAGAAAGCTAAATCAAGATTTCAGTGCCCAAAACTAGACCTAAGTTTCAGATGTAGAGCTGGTAGTACTTTCAAGAAGAGACTTATACATCTGAGAGTTCAAAAACCTAGGGAAAGAGTCTCTGTGCATTAATGTGTAGATCTGAAGTTGGGCATCTTCATACATATGAGGATTTGGATCCAACAAATTTCTGTTTATCACTTCTCGCACCCGTGAGTCTAAACTAACCTAAAAAGAAGAAGCAAATATGTTGGTTAAATGTTCACTGAAGAAAGTTATGCAAACCTATAAGCATTACATGAAGACTTCAGACATATATTTGCATACTTGGCACTCAGTGGGACCTTATCCATACAGAAGAAGATTCACAAACCTACCTGACATTTAGGAAACATCCTGTGTTTCTTCGTTTGAATGCACATCAAAATTAACAACAGAAATACGTATATTAAGTCTGGACTATTAGGGCTTTTGTGCCTTTGTGGGACAACAACCAGATAATGTCAGCATATATGTAATTATTATGCAACTGCTGTTCAGACAACACTGGATCTTCAATGGCTTACAATTAAAATCTGCTAAAATTAAAGTAAATGGATGACTGCATGCTCAAGATGGAGGAAATTTGGAACTTACTGTCCAGATTCCATTCTTCCAACCCACCTCACTTTCAGACATGATCGGAAGGGAATTTGTATTAACTGGTGTAAGGAGTGAATAAGTGAATTTGATAAACAAATAAAAAGTGCCATAAAAAAACTTCCTGTTATTTAGAGCATAAATCTTAGTGATCCTCATCTCTCCTGTTAAAATATTTCCTGTGTAAGAGGCAAGCTACTGCACACAACTTTTAAACCATCTTTCCTGCTGAACCCATTGTCCCCAGAAATTTCTTTGTCAAATGCAAGGGGGACAAAAAGGGGGTCCATGAAGCATATATGCACCTAATCCTATTCTGAGGACCTGCACCCAGCCCACAACTGAAAAAAAAATCCCATTTGAGAGGGGGGATATTTACTTACAAAAATATTGCCTATGTAACCTAGGGAAGTAAGGTTCCTGTTTAAAGGACTCACCTGGGGCTGAACCAGCTCAGGAGAACTTGAAAATGTAGTGTACAGCTATCTATCTATTGGAATAGATTTTCTTATAAAACAATCTGTGGGTGAGATGTGGTGGCTTGTGCAGTCTCAAGGTCCTGCAGGAGACCACTGTGGACTACCAGCCCCTCACGGTTGCCCACATCTGGTCAAGGTGAGGAGAATAGAAGTTCAAAGTATTTTTTTATGTCTTCTGTCCATGCTGATGTCAGAGAGACTGATCATGTTTTCCCTTCCTTGAGAAAAGTGGCTAGGTGGCATTATTCAATAGGAATACAAGAAAGAATCTTACGTCAAGTCAAATTACTGCACCTTCTCGCAATACTGGGCAAGAAGGAGTAGTAATAAGAAACTGATGTAGTGCCTCTGACTGTAGTGCCTTTCATGTTTTTCACATTGGAGTCTTTCTCAATTTTACTTGGAGCTGTGAGAGTTTGAACATGGATTGTTTGTATGCAAATTTTGTAATCTAACAAACTTGGTGACCATCAGAGGTGTTCTATTATAACTGCTGTGCTAGCAGCCGATACTGAAATGTATCCAACACACTGGAGGGCATCAAGTTGAAAAAGCCTGTCCTAGAAGAATATGCTGAGACTTACCACACAGCAACCTGAAATTTGAGCATGTGCCAACACTATTGAATACCAATCTGGGATTGAGAGCATCACCTCTTTTGGTGAAAGTATAGAAATGTAGTCTTCATATATAAGCCTTGCTTTTTCTTCAACAACTTCCTTGTTTTGTTCATCCTTTAGGTCTTCACATGCTAGCCAGAAGAGCAGATTCTCCTCACTGTATTCTGTTCGAAGAAACTCTCTGAAAATATTTCTACCAGCTGGTGTTTTCATCATCTTGTCAAAGTTTTGAGCCCAGGAAATAATTTCTTCTACAGGAGGGTTTTGGCTGCAAAGCAAACAACAAGAACAACCATCTAACTCATAATTTCATACATTTTTTTTCCTCTGTTGATTGGATCCTATCTTTATGTCTCATGTACTTCATCTCTGATCTAGAGAAAGTTGCATGCAGCAGTGCATCTCCAGATTTAACTTTTCAAAAGGCAGGCCTGCAGAGTTCAGTGGGACTTACGTCATGATTAGTAGATAAAAGATTTCTGTTTAAGTCCCACAGAAATCTACATGGTTTTAATTAGTCTCAACCAACCTGTTCCAATTGAATAAGGATGACTCTTGTTATAGATAATCTTTTGTAAAATTTCCAGGCTATATTTAGTCTTGAAAATAATATATTCTTCATTTCAAAATTAAATAGTAGAGAGCTGCCAAAATAAAACCAATGAAAATAATATCATATAACTTAAAAACATTTTAAATAGTCAAATTAGAGATCAATAAAGGATAGACAAAAATCTGATATTGTTTTTTATAGTTTATATAAGAAGCCACCATGCTATAGTGGTTTGAGTGCTGACTGAACCAGGAATTTGTGAGATCAGGGTTCACATACACACTTTGTCATGGAAGCCTTTCTTGGAGAAGTCACACTCAGCCTTCCAAGAAGGCAGTCCTTCATCTGATAGGATTGTTACAAGTTGAAGTTGACTTGGTTGTTCAAAACAATGAGGCTTTGAACAACCATGGTCGGCGTTCCATCAATGGTCCATCATGGCATCAGCCATTGCAGCTCACTTTTTCTGACCAAACAAATTTTCTGACCAAACAACAACAAACTGTTCTTCAATTGGTCAAGAAAAGTAGTGCAGCCTGCTCTTGCTTCAAAATCACAACTTTGGCATGTTTGACAGTAGGAGAATCAGTGGGAATCTGCCCAGCTATTTTCCTGTAACTGGACATTCTGCAATGATGTCATCAGCAGGAACCTCCTCAAGAATAGGAATTTAGGGGGAAAATGTAGCATACACAAAATGTCAGACATCCATTGCGTGTCTACCTTAATTTTTTAGTAATTATTTCTACCCTTTGTGAATGCAAGTATAATCATTATAAAAGTTGAAGAGACTCAAATAGTTCTGTAGATATATTTCCATTTCAGTTTTATAGATATGACTTTGGCTTTTTTTATGCTTCTCATTTTCTGTGGAATGTGCATTTAGTTGTCATGAAAACCATAAATATAGTTTTGTACAGAATGACAAACGTCACTGCTGGTTCCACATAGACAAGGTTTCTTAAGCCCAATAACAAACTCTTTCAAGATGAAATATTCTATGCCATCTTGCATGGGATGACATTTGGACTCAGATGTTACTTTTTGGACAGAGCATGTGATGAAAAAAAAACTGCACAGTTGCCAAAAAAGAATACTAACGAGAGACAGGGAAACCACTAATGAGAAGATTTGGATATTCACATGTTTTCTTTTCTATATCGTCTCCTGAGTTGTCAAAGTTTTCTTTGTCTGGTGCTATTGACCTGAATATTTTCAATTAGTATGGGGTTGTTATTTCTTTTAGAAATACTTGATGGTAATAGGACGGAAGGAGGGGATGTTATGTGTGTCTGTATCTGTGTGGGAACCACTCATTCCCCATTCAAGAAGAGCACTACCATCAGTTTTTGCTCTTTTTAAACTGCTATGTTCCTAAATGAAATACTCAAAGCTCTCTTTAAATGTTTCTGTAAACATATGAAGAAGGATTGAGATGTCCCATTTATGTTTAAGTCAGACTACTGAGATTTTCTCAGCCATGATGAAAATTCCCATCTCCATCAAAAGATAGAGAGACACTTTGTTTCCCCTATTATGCTTTGTATAGTTTGTATTAAAATGTCTCTAACATCTTTTCTTTGTCTGAAACTAACATGTACATGTGCAGTGGAACTCTCTGCCCCGGAGCACGGTGGAGGCTCCTTCTTTGGAAGCTTTTGAACAGAAGCTGGCCATCTGTCAGGGGTGATTTGAATGCAATATTCCTGCTTCTTGGCAGGGGGTTGGACTGGATGGCCCATGAGGTCTCTTCCAACTCTTTGATTCTATGATTCTATGATCGCATCAGTGCTCTGGGCCTCCAACCATTTTCTTCAGTATCAGTTTGAAAATACATTAAACACTCTGTGTAGGTTTGCCCCTAGTCCAACAATCAAAACACTAGCTCATGGCATATGCCACTATGCAATACATATCTTACCCTATGCCAAATTACAATGTAGAACCCCATGCTGATGGTTAGGTGAATAGAACAAAAGCATGGTATATAGCAGGGTGGGACACTATTTCTGCAGCAGGGTCGTGTCTCTGCATTATGAGAGTCAATTTTACCTTGGATCTGGGATACACTAGCAGTACATTATTGGCTGATCTCAAGAGTTTCCTGTGACTTTTTAAAATGTGCTATATATCCTTAAATACACTCTACAGCATGTATTGGCAGCATGTGTTCTATGGTTTTAAGTTGTTTCAAAGTCACATTATAATGTCAGTGTAGATAGATCCTATAAGACTATACAAATGCCAAAAAAATTAGGAGGAAGACCCAAACCAGCCAGCATTCCACTTCTGGTTATGGAAAACTTTCATTTTTTTAAAAAAAGGTAAGCAATGTAGGAGGACTTGAAGTCTATTTAACAAATGTGTTGCCCCTCCAGGAAGCTTCCAGGAAAGTCAATTCACACTTTGTTTGGTCAGGTAAAGGGTAGTCTGGAAGGAAGGGAAGTAATCTAGGGGCACATCTGTAGCTCCAGAGCCACACGCTTCATACATCTAGTGCAGTGGTTCCCAACCTTTGGTCCTCCAAGTGTTTTGGACTTCAGCTCCCACAATTCCTAACATCTGATATCTGATTGAGATTTCTAGGAGTTGAAGTCCAAAATAATGGGAGGACCAAAGATTGGGAACCACTACACTAGTGTATTAAAATAGAGATTGTTCTCTCTCCCACTTTTTCATATTAACAGAAGCCAGAGCAGTCAAATGAAATTCAATTGCAGGAGATTCAGGATAAGCAAAAAGTATACATCCAAAGTATTCAGAGATGTAGCACAGAATGATGGTAGTGATGGCAAAATAGGAGCATTGGCCCCATATGATTTCATTTGGGGCAGAATATCTCAAGGAGGAATAATTCCTTCATTTTGCCACCACTCAATAACTACATTTTTGCATAGCTCCTGTTAAACAATTTTCTTGTTTACATACACCCCTCTCCAATGATAAGTTTATTTCATGACTTGAGGTAACTTGAGGTGGGTATGTATGTGAAACGATTCAAAGAGGCATATTAGACACCATTTGTTTGGACAGAATAGTTGTTAAATGGATTATTCAAACATTTTCCTAACACATATAGAGCAGAAATATGAGTCTGAGCTTAGGGAATTGATAACAGTAATTGCTCTTTGAAACTAATGAATGTTATATTGTAGAACATACCTGTCTCCACAAGATGGCATCATGCTGAAGTGCAACAGAATGGGAAAAATAGGATTCAAAAATGTAAAGGAGGAGTAGTAATTCCTGTCTCAGATCTTCCACTGAGAGTATCTTCCACTACACTTTAAAGAACAGCCACCACTGCATATATATGATAGTGTACAACATGTAGTAATGCCAGGTGATAAATAATATTAAATATGATTTGCCAATAAAAATTACACAGGAAGGAATGGGCAAAAATAGAGGTTTTTTGCCTAAGAAATCCCTATGAAATCTCCATGAAGTTGACAGGAGAGTTGAAGGCACACACATACACAAACACATGCCTATAAAGTGATATGCAACAACATTAATGTTCTTGTAGTTGAACACAAAAATCTGCCATCTGATAGAAATTATTAGAGGTGCCTATGAGAGAAATGTACTATATCAAATTGTGACATGAATGTTTTTGCTTTTAGAAAAAGTGAGTCTCATCCTTGCTTTCATAAAAAAAACCTTGACATTGATTTCTTGTATGACTCCTTGTATGACTCCTCTGACAAATCAAGTTCAACTCTTACCTGCACAGCCATTTATTACAAAACCAAAACATTAAGTTTGATTCTAGCCTGATCTACTTTAATCCAGAGGTCCCTGAATTCATATTCAACATGGAAGATTGTTTTCTTTTAAAATGAAGAGCAGATGATTTTATCCTCTTTATAGCATTCAAAAAGGACAGAGAAGAACAATGAGTCAAAGGCTTGCTCTGATTTGTTCCTCATCAGCTAAACTGTGGCTATGTTTTGGGAACACAGAAACAGTACAAAATGTGAATCTACATTCAAGACCCTGCTTTCTGTAAAAAAAAAAAATCTCGACATTATGGTTGTGAAGATATGTTGGCAAGTGTGTGGGTGATTTCTAGTGAACTCTAAGATTCCAGAAAAAATGTCTAAATAAGAATTGCAACAGATGGTAGGAGAGCATCAAGACTCCACATAATTCTTCTTTTCTTCATAACTAGCAAAGCCAGACTACTGTAAATTATGCTAAGGGCACTTGAAAAAAATCAGTTTACAAAGTGTATACAGGCTAAGGAATTCTAATGTCTTAAGTTGCAGCAACATATAATATCTATACATGATTCTTTTTGCACCTTTAATACATAGTAGAGTAGAATCTCGCTTATCCAACCTCTGCTTATCTGACATTCTGTCTTATCTGACACTCTTATCTGACGCCTCCTTTTCCTCCAGCATTTCCCCTTCAATTAAAGGAGTGCTCCCAACTCTCTCTCCATTCTCAATAAGTGAAAAAGGCAAGACAAGGAAGGGGAGAAGGGAGGAAAGGGGGGAAAGAGACAGGACCAGAAGTGGAAGCACCTTCTCTCCTTCCCTCTGTGATTTCCACACTCCTCTTCCACATCCAGGCACTTCCTGCTGTGCTGTTCTAACCCCGAGATGTTGCCTTTCCTAACCCTTTGAGTCCCTGTTGCTAGTATTATAGGTGTCTAGTGCCACGTTGGATGGGTAACAGAAGGAGATTCCATATTATCTGACATTTTTTTTATCCAACGTTCTGCCAGCCCATTTATGTCAGATAACCGAGACTCTACTGTATTGCATTATTTGTTCATGTAATGGTAAGGTATGTATATTTAATCTGCCTTATTTGTACTCCAGCTTCTTCCCAGATAGAGATTCAAGTTGTCTTACAAAAGTTGGAAATTTAGTGTTAAATATCATGCCAAATGGGAAAAGCTAGAAGACTGAAACTTGATTAAGAACACAATTGCATATTTTATGCATAAATTGATTATATATACTGTACTATATATTTGCAGGTGAATACAGTACCCCAATAAGTGTTCACTGTCAGCACAGCAAGGAAAAATTAATTTTGGTGACAATTACTCCCAGAAATCCCTAGCCAGCACAGCTACTGGCAGAGCATTCTGGGAGATGGAGTCCTAAAAAGGAACTTTCCAAACAGTGACTCTTGGCATCAATATTAGTTAACTTGAAGAAGACAAATAGCAAACTTACCACTCTTCTATAACCTGGATGCTCTCCATTTTGGTTGTGTGTGTTGGTCTTCCTGAATTGTCCCCTCTATCTTCATTCCTAACAGTGAGGCTGCAATGTAGCACAACACTTTATTTTGTCTAGAGAAAATTAATTTAAAATCACGAATTTATGATACATAAAAAACAATGTTGATGTTTAAAGTGAACCAGCATTCTCCAGGTAACATTTCATTTTCTTGTTAGTAAATGCAGGAACATATTTCAAAACCTATTAAAAATTATTGCTTTGACTGTAAAGACTTCACCTATGTCCAGTGTTCAAAGAGTCCAGGTATTACATATATTTTATTATAAAAACTTGAAATTATAGTATTTGCATACCCTCTAACCTTTCAGAAATTAAAAGCCATGACTTGTGGTCAAGCAATATCAGAGGGTGATTAAGTTATTGAGGAAGTAGAACACACAAGCTAGAAGAAGCTGAAGTGTTTTGCCTTTTGCTCAAGTCCTTGGAAGGGCAGGATTCTGCCTCATTCTCTCCAACTTGGCCTGATCCAAACAGCCCTAAAAAGCAGGTTGGAAAAATGAATTAGCCCGAGGTGTCCAAATGACACTTCGGGCTAATCCAGTTTAACCTGGAGCAAACCTGGAAATACAGGTTTACCCCAGGTTAAAAAAAACCCTGTGTCCTTGTGGACTTTCTAGAATAGTCCATACCTTCTCAAGTATGGGGACAGACAGGACAGGACAGACTGTTATGATCGCCACCTGTGATCTTGAGGTTCAATCCTCACAGCCATCCTGCCTCCTTGGGCTGTGGTAGCTCAGGGGGCGGGATGGTACAGCCACCTTCTCCTCCCCATCCCCTTGTTTAGAAGAAAAACTTTCATTAAAGACTTGCAAATGGAGGCCTGGTGCTTCTAAGCAGCTCCTGGCACATTAAAATGATGTGCCAGGAGTTTTGGAGAGGGAAGGGGGTTAGGGGCACAGGGCCACCATGAAAGTGAAGAACCACAACTAAAGAAATTGCCTTTTTACCTGAAAGAATCTCTCTCTAGGAATTTCTAGGTCATCCAGCATGACTATGATAAACTTCTACTGAGTGCTGAACATAGAATCACACTGAAGGGCATAGATATTCCAAGAGGTATTTTGTTTAGAAATCTCTAGGTCCTCTAGCATGACTGGAGGAAGTTGACCGAAGAATCACACTAGAGATTTGTAAAAAATTATAATAAAATCCACAAATGTCAAAATTGCAAATGTGGAAAGATGACTGCATCTTTAGTCCAGTATCAGGGATAATTGTGAGAAAAGATGGGGTAATAAACAAATAAATATGGATTACAAAATCAAATGTAGAACTAAGGACAGAAAGTCCACTAAGAGTTTTGACAGTGTCAAAATGTTAATACTAAGGACCTCATCAGATGGCCCTTTGTAAAGTGGGGCAAATCATGGGGCAGATAAGCTCAGGTATAGAGAATGATTGTAGTGTGTTTATTAGAGAAAGTGGAACATTTCCTCCTTTTGTGTTTTTTGGTTTGTATTTGGTAGGTTAAAGTTTGGATATGGCTACCTTGATGAGTTTTTGTCATTTTATCTTTGTAGTTCGCTTGTATTACTCTTTATGTGTGGTTTAAACACATTATAAAAACCTTTGTGCATGTGTGTTCCATAAACATTAAAAATAGAAAGAAATGCATGAAACATAGTTGTGCCCGGGGATAGTGATGTAAGTCTCAGCTATTGATTTTTTCCTGAGTGAATTCATCCCTCTGGCACACTTAAGGAATAAATACAGAGCAATACAATATTAGGGAGGCTTATATGAATAACTTATGTGCACTTTCTATATTAACATATCAGTTATCAGAAGCTACGAATCATCATGCCTACATATTACCCCAGGAACAAAAGCAGTATGGTGCTAAATAGTTTTTTTTTTGGGGGGGGGGGGGGGCTGGAAGGTGCTGTTGTGTCCATGTCCTTGCTTTGGGCTTCTTATAGGCATCTTTTGACTACCATGAGACGAGAATGTCAGACCAGATATGTCTTTACTTCAGACTCGACTTTAGTTCTTATGCCCCTTTTCACTGCATACAGCCAGTGTAGCTTATTTATCCAGTAAATGACTCGACTATTTGTATGAGCAAAAGCAGAGTATTTTGTCTTGGGAAAACAGACAGGCGTGATAATCTGCTTGACACTGTAAATGTATTTTCCTCCAGCAAATCAAACTGATGTGCAAATCTGTACACTGAATGTAAGAATTCAGCCAGAAGAACTCCATGTGTTCCATCCATTTGAACAGTTTTTAATCTAATCTGGGAGAGAATTTGAATTCCCTCTGAGCTGCCTTCACTTCACTATTACAGGCATTAAGGCATTTCTTCTCTCCAGGCCATGGAATAACCACAGAGGTGGTTGATCTTGCCTCTAACTGAAGCTTGAGTGGCATAGCTTGGTGCCCGGGGGCAGAACGCTAGTACTACAGTGGGCACTCAGACAGATGGGGAAGTGGATCAGGATAGCTCATGTTAAAACTGGGCATGACTTGAAAATAACCATGGCCATTTGAGGATGGGTAAATAGGTGCCCATTGTGTTTCTTCTGCCCAACTGCAAGATGAATAATTTCATCTGTATCCCATCAGTGAGATAAAACATCTTGGGGTGAGGTCACTTTGGCATCTGAAAATCAGAAACTGCAGGTGAGGGAAGAATCTCTGTTTAGATGTACATTGCTGAAGACGTTAGAACGAAGTGGAATCCCAGTGGCTGGGAAGGAAGTGTAAAAAAAAGAAGAAGACAAAACCAAAAAGTATGACTGAGGGAAGAAGAAGTCAGAGCACACATATTCAGTGAAAGCTCCCTTAAGCACGTCAGTAGAATCTCCATACGGATGAAAATGTTCTGCCAGATTTCTAAAGAGAATGAAGGCTGTTTTATCTTCTTTGCCTTCTGTCTTTAGAAAGAGCACAGCTGCATTTAAATTGAAAGGTTCCATTTCTTCACAGTTTCAAGAGACAGTCTTGAAAGACTTGCTTAATTCTATGGGGTCCAGAGACAGCGCACTTGAGTTTAAAAATTCCAGACAGTGATTCCCGGTGTAACTGACATTTTAAGCTGATTTGGAATGATACATTGCTAGAAAATAAATCCTCTTCAAGTAGAAAATTATGCCAGGAGCTAATAAATCAGCCTGAAGTTACTTCTGTCATCTTCCGCTATAGGGGGCAGATGAAAAGTTTTGGATATTTAATGATAAAAACAATGGTGTGTGCTCAGTCCCTTAAAATAGTCAGAGGAAATATTACTTAGAGTTGCCAGGTTTTGGGGCTCTGTCTGAAGTCTTGGGGAATTCTTCTAGTTCCCTGAGTCTCAAAGCAGACAGACAAATCTCACGCGGGATAAGAAGTAGCTGTAAAGTTTTGGTATGCATCTCAATCAATTTCCCATTAGTGTCAAGGCTCATACTAAAATGTTTGTCATGCTTGCCCAACATGGCACCCTACAAAACCAAGTGTAAGAGGAGGTGACTGGAAAGGGAGGAAGTGGCTGCCTGACCCTATCATGGCATTTAGAGCAAGGCAGAGTCTTTGATTGTCAAGATTAATGAAAGATTTCATTTGCAGAAGTCCTGGTAATAGCAGCTTTGGACCTTATAAATCAGTGGTTCTCAACCTTTGGGTTCCCAGGTGTTTTCACCTACAACTCCCAGAAATCCCAGCCAGTTTACCAACCATCAGGATTTCTGGGAGTTGAAGGCCAAAACTCCTGGGGACCCACAGGTTGAGAACCACTGTTATAAATTCTTTTGGGTTGACAGTATGCCTTCCAAAAAAAACCTGTAGTGAAGGGCCTGGATTAACTCCTGGTGTGTCATAGGTGCTGCAGTTAAGGCCATGAGCAGGCACTAGCTATACTAAGAATGGTAACAAATGCTATAAGTGCTGAGTAAGAAGAAACAATTTATTTGTTTGCTACATTACATTGACACTACCCAATTTCACAGGTTGATGATGATTTTTTTTCAATAATGTAACTATTTTTAATCTATTCTGGAGGGCTGAATTTGAAAAACACAATTAAAATGTCATGCCACAAACACTTCTTTCACAAATTTCATTACTCAGTTTAATACTAATTTCATTCAGTCACATCTTAAAACATGGATGTTTCAAAGCAAGTTGTGGAAAAACTGTATGTAATGGAACAAATCTTGGGTTTTAAATGCCAAATTCTGATAACACGAGCATATTTTTAAAAGTTGTTATAATCCTCCATTATTGTACAGTTGGTTCTCCACATTTGCAAATGTGATTATTCACAGATTTGATTGATGTGATCTCTCTAGGATTCTCTAGGTCTTCCAGCATAACTCTATGTTCAACTTCTATCAGAAGATAATGATAGAGTTGTGATGGAGGACACATATATTCCTAGAGAGGTGTTCTCTTGTGCACAACAGCAGAATATATTGAACAGAACCATGGTAGCTAAAATGGAATCATTTAGTGTGAAAGTGTAGTGGCTGGTTTAGAGATTCCTGAGAATGGAAGGGTTATCTTTTCCATTCTCATGAAATTTTGGGAACTGTAGCCCCTCCCCCCCCCAAAAAAGAGTAATTCCTAAACATAGCCAAGTCTCTGTTTAATGAAGCAGACACATCCATCAAACTGAAATTTCAGTATAAAATCCAACTATAATGAAAGGTCACAATTCAGTTCTAGCAGAGAAAGAAGAGAAGAGAGAAGTCTATTTTCATAGAGCTCCTGAAACCAGTTTTCGTTCACAATCACAGTGTATTTGAAGAGTAAATATTTGATAGGAGGGCTCCCATCAATAAGTGAACCACACCCAGGCAGCTGGTTGTTGTTCAACTGAAAGGAGATCTGAAATTGACTCAGAATACAATAGACATAACTCACACCTGAAAAACTTTTCCATATAGATTCATTCTTTGTGTATATATTCTTTGTACCATTGCTGAGTAAAGTGTATTCAAAGGTTATGTTATCTGTGTCTGCTGAGAGCAATTCATTAACAAATTATATTTTGATCATCTCAGTTGATAACTCACAGAAAGTGAACTATTATTAAAATA